GAAAGTTCTTTGGAGAAGAACCCAATATGTTTCCACTTTCAAAATTAAGAGTCAATAAGAGAAAAAGATAAATTGAAGAACCATAAGAGATTGCTGATCGTAAAATGAAGAAGTTGCATTGAAAAATGATCGACCTAGTGCTTATGTGATTGAAACATACATCAGGGACAAACCTTACATGGGAAACATAAAGTAACATGAGGAGTTGCTGTCCACATCTATTTTTTGATATATGATTCTTTGACAGAATCATCTAAAGTGGGAGGTAATTATAACCCTCATTTTTTTCTCCAGGCATATACGTTGGTCGATAATGTAAATTTTATCATGAATAAATGAATAAGAATTATTCAAACATGATATGTGATTATATAAAGGTTAGTTTTATATATATATATATATATATATATATATATATATATATATATATATATATATATGTTATGCACATGAAGTTTGGAAAAATTTTATGGGTATATAGTATTTGAATAAAAGCTTATTTTAAAACATAACGATTTGTGTTAAATAAAGATTAATGTATGAAAGTCCTAGTAATCGTGATTTTAAACCCAAGAGTATAAGGAATGCCAAAATCTGACGTCATATGAAGAAATTATGATTTTTCAAAGATTCGTTTTACTGTTCATTTCACCGGTATTTAGTATAAAGTATGAAAAAAAATAGATTACTTGATAACAATGTAATGTAAACAAAAGCTGAAGATGACATAAATACGAAACCGTAGATATAAAGTGCATAAAGAGCAGAACTCTTATGAAGAAGTTATGAATTTCGCAAGAGCTTTCACAGTGTAATATTTATAAAAGGGATAATGACTTGAAAGGGTAACGAACTTTCGACTTTTGTCACATTTAGTCACTAAACTTTTTTTCGTTATCTATTTGCCATTGAACTATTGAAATTGTTCACATTTGAACAGTTTCAATAGTTTAGTGGCAAATAGATAACGAAAAAAAGTTTAGTCACTAAATGCGAACAAAATCGAAAGTTCGTTTCCCTCTAAAAAGTTCAGTGACTAAATGTGAACAAACTTCCTATTCCTATCGTATTATGTTTTAGCAAAATTATTTATTTTTGTTTAATTGTAGTAACATTTGTTGATGAAGAAATCTATGAAATAAAAAAACAAAATGTAACATCCGAATTTCCAGGTATCATAATTTAAGTATTTTTCTTTTGAGTTAAGAAGAGAGACTCGACGAGTTGACGCCTCAACTCGTTGAGTAAGGTCGCGACTGATGACTCAGATAAATGAATGGACTCGACAAGTCGGTGAGGCGACTTGACAAGTCGGTGAGGCGACTTGACGAGTCCACGCTGTTGGCAGAAACCCTAAATCTTTGGGCCCGAGCCATATTTAAAGGCACTTATGGCCTTCAATTGCGACTGCCTTTCTCATAAGTGAGAACCCTAGCGAGCTTGAGTGTGTAGAGTGAGAGGAAGAGCTATCTTGAGCTTTTTGGTGTGATAGATCTGGACCCTTCTAGGTCTAGAGAGCCGAGAATATGAAGCTTTAGTAGAGTAAACCTTGGGGTTCGAAGTTAGGAAGAATAACCTTAACCAACAATGTGATGAAATAAAATGATGAGAGATAGGTGATGATAGAAAGGTGATGATAATTAGGTAAATAGATGATGATGAATATGTGATACAGGATGAAAGGAGATACCATAACCTTAACCAGCAATGTGGCGATGTAGTAATCCACTAGAGTATAGATGGCGACCACGGACTATTCTAGACAACCTAATGGAAACACCAGGAGACCTATAACCTGTAGGTGATGAATTACGATTTCAGACGATGTTGTAACTACGTATTCATGCGATGATAGTCTAACCCCTTACTATGAATTACGAGTTCAGACGATGTTGTAACTACATATTCATGGGATGTCACAAATTTCGCATGCCAAAGTAATGGTCATAATTCACATCAGTGAGAATGGTTCATTTTTTTGTAAAACCAAAATCAGATTGGAAATTTTGATTTTTTATTTTGGAAAATGTCAACCATTGGTTTTTTATTCCGGTTTCGGTTTTTTGTTTTTTTTTAAATATATTTCCAGGTTTTTTTTTCCATAAATTTCTTCATCAACAAATGTTGCTACAATTTAACAAAAATAAATAATTTGGTAAAACATAATACAAGAGGAAGTTTGTTCACATTTAGTTATTGAACTTTTTAGAGGGAAACGAACTTTCGATTTTGTTCATATATAGTCACTAAACTTTTTTTCGTTATCTATTTGCCATTGAACTATTGAAACTGTTCATATTTTACCCCTATGACCGGCAATAGCCGGTCATAAGGGTAAAATGTGAACAGTTTCAATAGTTCAATGCCAAATAGATAACGAAAAAAAGTTTAGTGACTAAATGTGACAAAAATCGAAAGTTCGTTACCCTTTCAAGTCATTATCCCTTTATAAAATATAAAGAAAAAAATAGAATGTGGATTAGTTGTTAAGATCTAAAGAAAAGTTGTAGTACACAGAAAGACAAATTAGTGGATATAAAGAATGTCGAAAATAGAACTTGTATATGAACGTTACGATTTTTCGAAGAATGCGAGAAATTCCCTATGAAGGGTGGCATGATACCACAGGAAATTGACATGTGGCACCACAAGTAATTGGCATGTGGCAGTTGTTGGAGACATCAGTCCCACTTGCCTCTGTGATAATGTGACACTACTAGAAAGCGACACATATGTGTGCTTTTTGGGAATTTTTTCTACAAATAAGCTCGATTTTTCTCACTTTTCTTCACACGTTTTTCTCTCAACCTTTTTTTCCGCACCTGATATCTAGCTTTATGAGTTTCCAAAGTATTCATATCAAGGTGTTGCAGCGACAAAAGGGCCAAAAGAACAAGAATTCAACGTCAAAGTATTGTCTGTGACATTCCGGTTCTTCTTACTACGCTTATTATGTGTAACTTCTTTTTATGTTCATTGACGTTATTATAAACCTATAAATAAGATTTATCAATAATTCTGGTTATAATGCTAATTGATCTACTTACGGGAGTGATATATAAGCAAGATCTTAGTCGGGTGTTTCAAGTGGATTTTCCAAAAATTATATTTATACGCTAAATGGATCCTATCTCCAACAGTGGCGAATCCAGAATTCAAACTCATGTGTGTCCAAATTGAATGACGTATCAAAATAAACGACTTATAAAATTTTGGTGATCAGGTCGGGTTGTCAATAATCATCATAATCCAACTACAATATAACAATGATCAAACAAAATTTAATATATTCTAGTAAATGTCTTACAAGCACATACTCAGCTAACACCATATAAAAACTAAATCAGTAAAAGAAAAATTACATTTGCAACTATTTTAAACTTTTTATTCCAACTATTTTACTCTAAACTAAATAATTAAATTCTAAAATCACATAACATCACATTTGTTGATTGATCAAAAGTTTTAAAATTTTGTTTGGATATATGTCTATTTAATTACAAAAAGTGTTACAATACATTTTAGTTTCTAGACTTTGACCCCTACGTAATAGGCTATAGCAACAATTGGTTTATTTTACCTGGAAGACATTAAGGCCTCGTTTTTTTTCTAAAAATACTTTTTGACCACTTATCACTCTCAGCGGGTAAATATTTCTTAAAAAGCTTGTTTGTTTTTTGAAAGACAAAATACCCTTGAAAGACATTTTGACCACTTTCCCAAAAGACCTAAAAATAACACTTCGGATGAATAGACATCATCTAATCCACGCTTTTTCAAAGACGATCCATCCTCTCTGCATCGTTGCTATCATTACTATCGACGCATCGCTGCTAATTCGGTCAACGTTCCTCTCCGGCTGTCACTCATCGTCGACTTTGCTTTGCTACCGCTTCCGTCACTCACACCACCACCTCCTTCGTTGCACTCCACCTTCTGTCTGTATGTTTTCTCCCTTCTCTTTTAATCATCGTTTTTTCAAATCATTCTATAGTTTTGTTTTTCTTCTTTGTCGATCAACCTTCCTTGTTGTCCATGTCCTAGATTTTATGTTTTGAATATGGGTATTAACAGGTTTTACATATTGATTTCACTTTCTCTTTCGTTTACAGCTTTCACCCCAAAACTGAATTGCTATACATTATTGTACTTATGTGTTTTATGTAATTATGAACATAGGATTAACAGTATCTTCAAAATTCAAAATCCGATTGCTCTTTGGCATTAATAGATTTTACATATTCCTTTGACTCTACATTATGAAATCATACAAATCCTTGTTGCATGTCATGTTGAGTGTTCTTTAGTCATTGTTGTTCACTTGTTTATTCCCGTTAAGTCTCTTTTTTAGTAGCTTTAAAAAAAATTGTGTTTATCTAACATAGCAATGCAATAAATGTATGCTTCTTAGTAGCTTTCTTTTAAGATCTACATATTCTTTGTGGTATGAATTTTGAATTCGTAGCTTTTTTTTCTTATGAAGAATAATGTTTTCTATAGGTGGTGTCCATTTTGGCAAATAATCTTTTTGATTCTTTCCTAAAAACTGTCTATTTTGCTATTACAAGTTACCATTTTAACTCATTGCCTAATTTGACCAACTACCCATTTTTCCACCTCTAATCGTCTTCTTCTTCTCCCACTTATCATTTCTCAGTCTTCTTCTTCTCCCACTTATCATTTCTCATAAACAACGTGAATAACTAATTTTATAGTTATCTAGAGACCTTAGACCTTAGTATCTAGAAATTGTTACATCTACAGATTTCATATGTTAGAATGTGTTTCATAACTTTTATGTTTCATATTAGTAAATTTACTAGTGTTTGAAATAGTAAACATTCATGAAAATAGATTTTAAATTTAAGATAATGCACAATTAATTATGCATTTTTTTAATAATGTGCATGAATATCAATTTTTGAAGTTATTGTATGTAGCTTGTCTAAATGGGAGACAAACTATAATGGTCGAACGAGAAACTAAAATGTTTATTAGATATGTGCATCGAAGAGGTCAACATAATTGGTAGAAAAGGAGGTAGCATGAATAAAGAGTCATGGGTTACATTAGGGAAAGTTCTAAAAGAAAAGTTTGACATGGATACTACACAAAAACAATTTAAAAATGCTTTTGATAATCTAAAAGCTAAATACGTAGTGTGGAAAACAAATTCATTTGCCTTAGTGAATACAAAATGGGAAGAATTCAAGAAGGTGTATCTTTATAATTTAATTTTTTTTTAGTTTATGTCTGATTTTAGTAATGATGTCAAAATACTTATAATTATTATTAATCTTGGTTTAGGGTCATCCAAGGTCAGGATCATTGAGGACACACCCATTGCCTTATCCCAACATTTGTGCATCTTTGTTTGATGGAAGTAGTGCCAATGGTAGCATTAAACGGACCTTTACTCAAACGAAACCCGCATATACATCATCTTCTTCTCATCGTGTCCAAAGACTTCTGATCAATGACAACCCTTTTAATGTCCTAGAAGATGATGATGGCGCTTCGAATAAAACTAGTGATCAGGCTTCTATTGATCGAGCGCATGGGGCTTCTACTGATAGGCTCAGTAAAAGGGCTAAGCGATTGATGCTTCTACTGATAGACCCGATAAAAGGGCTAAAACCACTGATGCTTCTACTGATAGGCCTGATAAAAAGGCTAAAACTACTGATGCTTCTAAAACCTTTGTTAGTCTTGATGACTTGAGTCTTGATATGCAAAAAGCTCTTCAAAAATTTGGTGAATAACAACAAAGGGTCAACAGTGGAAGAATGTTATGAGAGGTTGAAGCTAGTTGGATTGGACCCAATGGATCCTATATTTTTGGCATCATTTCACCTTTTTGGAATGTCCATGAATATGAGAGAGGCATGGATGACATTGATACTGATACCTGAGGACTTTAAAAGGTGGATAAATATGACTGGCACGACATTAGGGATGTTTAAGTAGTCTTTTTGCTTATGTTTTTTCTTTCATTTTCAACAATTATGTATTTCTTGAACTTATGTTTGATATTATGTTTTTTGCTATCATTTGAATAATTTTGTACTTATTTGACACAAATATTGCTAGTATTGGATTTATATGCTTATTTGAAACAAAATGTGTGTTTTCAATATGATACAAATGCTTATCTTTTTTTTCTTTAGCATATTGTGATTTAACAAGTGTTGATGGTTTAACAGGTTCACAATGGATTACAATAAAAATTTACGCCTCTTAATTGTTATGTATATGTGTCTTTGCTTTTTGGAGAAGAGATTTGGAAAGAATGCGAGATAATACCTCAAAATGTCAGGGAGTCAATTCACATTAGAGTTATTACAAGGAACTAATAACCAATGCATTGATCTTTTACGTATGTCACGTGATTCTTGTGTTTAGTTTTACACACATTTTAGAGTAAGGTTGGTTAACGGATAGTAAACATATATCGGTTGAAGGGAAGATAGCGATGTTCTTGATGATGATTGGTCACAATCAGTGTTGTCTAATCTTCAAAAGTAGATTGCAACACTCAAAACAAATGATTCATAAGTTTTTTTATGAAGTATTGGATAAAATGATGGTGTTCGCAAAGGAAATAATAGTACCAACTTCCTTTGGTCCAAATCCAAACATTATGGGACATAATAGGAGGTTATGAAGTATTTTTAAAGGAGCGGTTGGTGCACTTGATGGAACTTTGGTACATGCTATTGTACCTCTCGACAAACAACATTTGTATAGAGGAAGGGGAAAAGGCGATTTTTATCAAAATATATTGGCAATATGCGACTTCAACATGATTTTTACATTTGTTGTTGTTGGTTGGGAAGGGATAGCACAACTCAGCACTACCAGCACAAACAAAAATGGGATCGGTGTCTACAATTCCAATCGTAGTGATGACCAGGGGTGTGAATGAATGGATGCCTACAAGGATACCCCAAACTACAAACACAAGAACAAGAAACAAAATTCCTGGAACGGGAAAAAGGGCATTTCGACTCAAGGAACTACCAAAAGACAACAATTTGTAGCAGCCCATACCCCCACTAACCCTACTACCTCAACACGGAGAAAACCATATGTTGGAAACCTTCCAATGCAACAAGTGCAACTTCCATCATAATGGAGTCTGTTGGAAGTTGCATTGCGATAGTTGCAACAAAAAGGGGCACACCGCCCGCTACTGTAGGACCCTGACCCAATACATCACTCCAACCCCTAATGCTGGAGCGAGTCCAGTAGGCCACGCATGCGGTGAAACGGGACATTTCAAGAGAAATTGTCCAACATAGAGGAATAACAGAGGAGCGGAAGGAGTTTAACAACATGACATGATGAAACAACAAGGAACCCTACTGGAATTTTCAGTAAGTTTCCAGACAATGAAAATTAAGCATCAAATTTTCACAAAATGTTTTTGACAATTAAAATCATAATCATAAATTGTTCCCTCATATAAACAAGTCATACCATTAAAAAAAACTAAAGATCCTAGTAGGTGAGCTATAAACGCAAGGTCATATATAATTAAGATTCTATAGACTTAGAGTGCATGATTTTGCCATAATTCATGTTTATTGTGTGGTTGTGGACTTAAGTCAGGGCCACCTAGTCGACTCTCTTTTCAATCTTAATTATATACGACTAGATTACACCAAAATATTATAGAGAGACCTAGTAGGAAACATACTACAAGATTTCATTATTATTTATCCAAGTATTCGTACTACTAGAATGCCCTAAATCCGATATAAAATAATCGTCATAGTAATAAAAAGGATGAAACTGGTAAGTGTTATGAATATTTACATATAACACCCTATCATTCTAAATAACCATCCCTTCCAAATAAATTTAACATGTATTACAATAAGAAGTCCAACGTCGTCATTTGACATGGGCTGGCTTGATCCTCACCATACAAATTTCATGCGTTGCGAAGAGATCCTTCACCTTACCCGACCGATTAACGAAACTTTTTCAATCTATAAAAATGAACCTCTGAATCACCTCTTCCATCTAGACTCATAAGTACCTATGTGAAAGGTATCATGCTCTTTCCTAGCCCACAGTAGAATTTGAAAACAAGAAGCAAAAGAGACCTCAAAGTAATCTCAGGATTTTATAACCTCCTCAAGATGTTCCCGAAGTCCTTTCGAGAAGACCACCCATGTATCAAGATGAGACTAGAATCGAATCGACACTCGGAGCCATTCCCACAGCCAAACCCCCCATACCACTTAGCACCAGCACAAAAAAAAACATATATTTTTTGATGAATAGAATGACCTAATAAGTAAGCAAACTATTAGCCCAAGCCTCTAACCTCATAGAGAACCCAACCGACTCACAAAGAGGAAAGGCTAATTGTCTAGAGGACCACTAACTACTAAGAGTCAAATAAACCCATCCTTAGTGATCAATATCCCATATCCCGGATCAAAGACTTATTCGACCAACTTTGAGAAACAAGCAAGGGTCGACATCCCACTAGCTCAGAATCATGTAGTAAGAAACTCCTAAGACAACCTAAGAATTGTAAGGCAAACTACACCACACGCAACCTTAACTTTTGTGAAAATAGTCTTCGACTTAAGGTTTAGAGACACTACTTTTGGAGCGTCGGGTAACAATCCTCATTAGCCACAACCATCCATTCACCTCACCATATAAGAATCAAATGCAAACCACCCCCTGTGTTGTGCTGAGATGACCAACAAACGGCTAGCAAAAGGGCAAGTACCCTATGACACTGTCACCGGCCCCGAAATCACCGGAGAGAAAATTGAAGAGATCACCCAAATTCGAGCATGACTAGGGGTATCTAGAAATTGAAAAATAGATATGCAAGTAAGTGACAGAAGCCCTTGGAATTTCAAGTCGGTGATCACGTATTGTTAAAGTTATCTCCTTGAAAAAGGATGATACATTTGGGAAAGCATGAGAAATTGAACACGAGATACATCGGGCCCTAGAAATCCTAGCTGGTATGGGTCCGATGGCTTATAGACTCTAGCTACCTCTTGAACTCAGCAATGTACACCCTGTCATTCATGTAGAAATACCTACCGGACAAAAATCTCGTTGTCCCGCTCGATTTGATTGAGGAAGATGAACACCATCACTACATCAAGGAAACCCCAATAATAATGGACAGAGAATTGAAGCGATCAAAGCAAAGTCACATTCCCACCGTGACGGTCCGATGGAGTGCCAAGCGAGGGCAAGAGTTCACCTGGGAACGCGAATACCAAATGATGTAAAAAGTACCTCTATATCTTTTCTAGTTCTTAAGGGATACTCTAGAACGAATTTTTGAGACAAATTTTCCTTTAACGGGGGGATGATGTCACAACTACGAATTTAGGGTTTAAGATGCGAAGCTTGTTCACAACAAATACCTCCATGTAACCATGTTGGATCTTATTAATAAAATGCAAACTACAATATTATTTGAATTCATACGTGCATGCATTGTAATTCAAGTTGAAATAGCCTCATGTAAGCCCAAAAACTTGATCCAATAGCTAAGTCCAATCCATTTTGGGTTTTGGTCCAAGAACTCTCGGCCTAACACCTTATTGGGCCGAAAACCGTTTTCCTTGGGCCATATTGGACCAAAAACTTTTTCTTTGGGCCTTATTGGTCTGAAATCCTTTCTTTGGGCCTAATTGGGCCGAACACTTTTCCTTTGGGCCTTATTGGGGGTGATAACCCTTTTATTGGGTCCAATTAAACCCAAAAAGCCCATTCATACTCCAAAACAAAATGCTTCTATCTTGGGTTTAAATGGGCCAAAAACCATTTCTTTTGGGCCTTCCTTTGGACCGAAAACCTTATAGTGTTAGATTAGGCTTGAATAAAACCAAAAAAAAAAAAAAAAAAAAAAAAAAAAAAAAAAAAAAAAAAAAGAATGAAAGAAAAAGAAATGATGAAATAGTGTGTCACCTCATTGTTATTCAACAAACAACAAGGTATTAACCACAATATTTCCAGGGAGGCATCCCATCAAACCTCAAGGAAGTCAAACCCTCCTTCTCCCCACTCCCCTCTCTTATTCTCGGCCAACACCACAACATACACACAAACAAATTTCACTCACTTTCCTCTCAAGTTTCCTTCAATTTCTCTCAAAATTCATGTGTGCGTGTGTGCCAATTGCAAGGATTCTTCTTCAAAGAATCTTAAACTTGGTAAGAACTTCATGTAAGCCCTTGTAATTCCAAACATTTTTATGATACGAACTTCTTGTTTACTACCTTTTGTTATGTGTTAAGTTCCTAGAAACCCTTGAAATTTTCGAGAATATGTTCAAGTGGTGCAAGGCTAGGACCAAAATCTCTTCACTCTCCTCTCTTCTACCACTCGAAATCTTCAAGGTGAGCTTCATACCCCACTATTTTCGTGTTTTTCATACTTTTTTCGGTTTGTGTGTGTGTGTGGGGGGGGGGAGGTACAAGTCAAATCTCGTTTAATCATTGGATAATTGCATGTACCTAAGTGTTATGTGTTTAACCTTTGGGTAATAGCACACATCTTAGTTGTGTGTTGAACATAGAACTAGAACTTGTGCAAAAAGGTTTTTATCTTATGTTTCTTCATAAAAATCGTGGGTAATGTGTTATTTAACATATATATATATATATATATATATATATATATATATATATATATATATATATATTGCATGAAAACTTATGGTTATATGTTGT